CTCATACGTCTGTTCGGTCAATTTCTTATCATACTTATCCTAACCCTCATTGTCATCTCTGTCTCCTGTCCTTCAAATGCCTCATTTCTCCTTGCATCCACTTCCAAACTGTCTACTACACAATTCCCCACCCAATACCTGGTCTTCCTATACTGGAAAAGCTCTTTTACTCAGTTTGCCTAATGAGGATCGTTGGAACTAGATGTTATGCCACATTTTAGGAATTCAGCCGATGCAAAAGAAGCTACTATTAAAATTCTCCAGAAAACTCATTGAGGCCACTTCTCTGCACTTCATATTTAATAATTATTAAGACTTGGACATTCTTTTGACTTTGCCGCAGGTACTAGAAGTAAGCGAAAATTTATTTATTTATTTATTTCAAATGGCAGGCGTTTTGATATTTATCATAAGCCCTTTAGCTGACTTCGGACTTCACAGGGGGGAGGAACATCAAAGTAACAGAAAATCGATGGGTGGGGAACAGAAGAGTGATTTAAAGATGTAAAGAGACAGACATGAAAGCAGAGAAAAGGTAGGATGAGTACTGCGCCAGAAGTCAATCGCCAGTTAATAGACTATTTTGCCGTTGCCCAGGGTGCACCACGTGGAGGTAAGTCTATCACGCACCCCTTAAAGGTCATGGTAGTTTGAAGTCAACTGCCATGTAATAGACCTTTTTGCCGTATAAGTATACGTTGCCCAGGGTGCACCACATGGAGGTAAGTCTATCACACACCCCAGTAAGCGAAAATAGTGTCACCAAGAGACAGCGCATTTCAGACAAAGAGCTCATTCATTTGATTTAAAAAATCGATGACAGGTTAACTAAGGAAAGACCGGATATACTGAAAAGATTCGAGGATGAATCCAGAAAAGCAAATATGCACGTAACTAACTGCAAAAAGTGGATTCTGAAACTATCGTTTTATCGAAATAAACAAATACATGTAATAATTACAGATATATGTATAATGACATAGGTTAAGAGTTTTAAAAAATTTGAAACCTACTGGTGATATTGCATTGATTATAAATAATAAGGCCGCATTCATCATTTAAAGGCTAGGATTAAAGCAGAAAAGTTTTGCCTAAATTAATAAATATAGCCATGCTACTTTGAAACAGAGTGAAGAGTAAGTGTAAAAGCACACAAACAATGAATATCACAAAGATTTTAATCAAGAAAAGTTTCCTATATTATGGTACATAGCTGGATCACTTTTTCCAGAAGTTCGGATCGAGTGATATTTTTCGCTGAATAGAGTCAAACCATCGTTTGATGACAGAAAGAGGAACATATGCTTCAGAGGTTCCAGGCACTTCTTGAGCACATCCAGACGCAAAATTAAACAGATTTGCTGCTGCGAATTGGGTAAATCCAACTTTATCATCAACAAAGTTCTGATTATTAGAGCCCTCCAGGGCAGGGGTCTGGCCAGAAAGTTCGCTCAAAGGCTCGAGCAAAATTCCAAGCTGGGCGTTTAAGACACCACATGTAGGGGGATTTGAAAAGTCTTGGAAAGGATTGGCAACTTGTGAAAGTATATCTAAAAGTCTCAGTAGAAGTAGAATTGAAACGAACTTGGTTTCAATCCTAAAACCTTAAAAATGGCACTAGGTCGGTCATTTGAGAGAAATCCTAAATAACTCCAGAGAGTTTGTCCGTTTTGCGCTATCCCTAAATGAACTAAAAAATAAAAGTATTAAAATAACACACCTCCGGCTCCATAACCATCTGGAAGAGCAGCTTGCCCCGTTAAGAAAACAACAACATGGTTACTTTTGCCAAGGGGAGGCAAATCCAACAGGAGTCTTCCTGGAGAAACTTCAACAAAATTCGATTGCACCTAATCATATATAGTGAAAATATCTATTACGAGCTGTCCGGTTAGAAGAGCAGCAAACATCCCAAACCAAAGGCCTACTACAATAAGCCGATTGGCTAAATTATAAGTCCGCGTAAATTTCGTGAAAATAAATTGCACAGAAATTTATAAAATATAATGGACTTAAATTTAAAACCAGGTAATATTTAAGATAAAACAAAATACTAAATTATATTGAAAATTTTCTATTCTATAAATTAATTTTAAATTGTTTATATATTTAAATGAACTTGATCAAAGTGAACTAACCAATCACTGCTGGGTTACCGAAAAGAATACGTTCATTATCCATTAATTTCTAGCAAATCATACATCTTCCCATCAGATATAGAAAATGTACCCATTTAAGAAACAATCTGTCTTCATGGGCAAGAAACCACCAGCACGTAATCTGCGGCAAATACTGAATAGTGAATGCCAATATAACTGGCCAGAAAATGCAGTTCTATACAATCAAGCAGAAGCACCTCCTAGCCTCAAACCTGCATTGAAAGTATCCGACATAAGCGGTATCCCATCAAATCTTCAAGATCCCACTACAAGACTACGATTCGCAACCGCCAATGAATATGACCACATAAAAGACCTTCCATCCGATTCCGTGATAGGATACCTCAAACTTAGGAACGCCCACTCAAATACGTTCCTTTAAAAATGTTCTAAGTATAAAGTCACTTTATTCTATGTACATTTGTGATAATAAAACTAACGACACCCGAAGTTCCTTGTAGCTTTATTCGAGTTCTACCAAGGCTCCGCACGATTCTAGTGACTTTTTAATCTTATCTGCTTCTTCTTTACTAAGGTCCTTCTTTAGAACTCCTGGTGCAGCCTAAAATTCAGAAAAAGGTTTCCACATTAGCTAATGTGCAATAAATGTACGAAAATCCAGGGTTGTCTGCCTACCTCAACGAACTTCTTGGCCTGAACAAGGTTCATATCTGGAAGAATGTTTTTGATTTCCTTAATGAGTGGAACTTTCTTGGCTTCATCAAACTTCATAAGTTTGACAGCATAGGAGGTTTTAGTGGGTGCTTGCTCAGCCTCTTCTGCTTCCTCTTTCTTGGTCCCAGATGCTTGTTGAGGTGGCATGAATCCCATGCTGTAGGTTGGCGCCTACAACACGAAAAAAATAATATGATAGATTGCATGACTTTTCAAGGGCGAAATATGGTAACACCACCTTAATATTCAGCTTGTTCGACAATAGTTCGTTTAGGTCTGCTACCTCAAGTATTGTAAGTGCGGCTATTTGATCGACAATCCTGACAATATTTTGGGGATATTTCTTTTCGGCTGCTTCGAGTGTTGGCCCATTAAGATTTTCGGAAACGCGGGGAGTTGCGGTCGAATAACAACTGAATGCGTCTCTTTGGAATAATCTACTACCATTATGGATGGAAAAAATTCTGGAACTAAAGCCAAACACACTTCTAAGCATCATGGAAGGTCGAATACCACGAGAAACTTTGACCTGTGAAGTTAGGTTACTAGGCTAAAATTTGACAATTTTTCAACGTTAAAATATATGAATATTTTCATGCAATAGCATATAAATAAAATTTAAGTCTCCTTTATGTTCAAAATTGTGTGATTTACTAACAATTTAAATTACGGAATAAAAAATTTACACAGAAAATGGAAATTATCAAATTTTTTTCGACAGCGGACAATTATTAGATCATGTAATAATTTATTCTGATTTTGAGCAATTATCAATTGAATGGCCTGACGTTTTATGTGTATTACCTTACACGTTAACTTATTCAGTTTGCCTAGTTCGTTTGGCTTTATTTATGAAACTTTATCCTTGCCTTGCGTCACTACATTTTGTCCCGTTTCAAGTTAATGAAAATCATTGTTTAAAATATTCTTACGACAATGCTAAGAATCGAGATCAGGTGAAAACATATCTATTAATTAACATGAACACGAAACTACGTTCAAAATTGGTTAACTTATTAAAATTGTGGCTTGGCATATAATAATAAAACTAAATAAATGATTCACAAATAAGCATTTAACCAATGTGTCGAATAAAATATTTTAAAAATCAAAATATTATTTAATATGCTGCGACATAAAGGATATAATGAAAAGCTTTTGTTGATCATTAGCATTTAGCCACAAGAAGGAACAAAGAGGAAGGAATTATATGTCTTTATATTAGTCAGAATTCTTAAGATGTTTTGAATTTGATCCAACAGTGTCCCAGTTGCATCAAAGACACTTGCTTACTTTATCATTTTAAAAAGTGCCAACTATCAACGGTATTATGCATTACCCATATCATGTGTCAAAATTTTAATACCACATTTGGAACATCGGGCATTTGATAGACTTGCCACTACGTAGTACACCATGGACAACGTATCCTCATACAGTTAAAAAAGCCATTAAACCGAATGTTGACTTCTGAATTCAAACTATCATGATCCCACGGAATTTCATATTCCACCACTTCCAAAGTACACATCGTACCTTTTACTCCATCTTAGTGTCTGACTTTCTCTTTTACATCTGAGAATCATTCTTCTATTCAACCTCTCTATTTTTTCTAACTTTACACTCCTCTTCTCTGTATACTCCGATGTCATTTAAATTGCTAGTGTTAACACTCAAAACACTTGTCATTTAATATAAATCGATATTGAAAACATTGTTATGTTAATATTAAAACATTCTTTATGGCTTTGTTCTCACAATGCGAATGGAATTAAACAAATATTTTGAAGACTATCATATCAAGGTAGGGCAAAAAATTGGCAGATGGGGGTAATGAGGGGGGGGGAGGCGATTTGGGGATTAAAAATGCAAAGTATAATCGTTAAATGAAATACTAATAATATTTAAAAATAAAGAAACTAATGAAATAGCCTTAAAATAATAAAATAAACGTCAATTAACGCAAATCTTCAACATATTTAAAAAAATTATCATGCAAGCACTTCTAAGTAACTGCAGAGAATATTATCGATAAGCAAGATAAAATAAAGCCTCTTAAAGATTGAACACATTTAAAAGTACTGTTCGAATTAGCTTTTGACTATTTTAATTATACTTTAATACTTAGATGGTTGTTTTAATCCGAAATATGCTCTAATATATATAACTTAAATTAAGATAAAATATTGAGCTTTATAATTATTTTTAATATTCATATTAATTGAGCAATATGCGTCTTAGGATTTATTTTTTCTTTTTAACGTTTATTAACTTTAATCAATTTTAGATGACCTTATTGTTTTACTTCTGGTTCACCATTCCACCAAGAAATTGCACTAATTGGGCGTGCGAGATTTTGAACGGTGATGTCTGGTTGTTTTAATTGTGGAGAGAGTGGACATTTCGCTCGCGAATGCCCAAAGGGACCGTCTGAACGTCCCAGCTTTGGTCGTGGCGGTGGTGGCCGCGGAGGTTTCTCTAGAGGTCGTGGACGTGGTGGTTATGGTGGCAATCGTGGTAAGAAATTTTGGTATATTCACGTCTGTTTTATCTTAAAAAGCTTTCTGAAACTTGTCTTTTAATTTTAGAGTCTACTTGCTATAATTGTGGTGAGTCTGGTCATTTCGCCCGTGAGTGCACTGCGCCAAGAAACCAGAGCGGCGGTGGTGGTCGTGATGTCCAGTGTTATAATTGTCAAGGATATGGTCACATTTCCCGCAACTGCCCTGAACAAGCCACTCAGTAAAGCCAACTTGCCATTTTAACACCCACTTAATGAAAATTCCGACGGGTTTTCATATTTATATAAAGGTGTTTTGGTGTCTTGAGCTTATTGTAATATAGTGCATTTTTTCTGCCTTATAAATTACCTTTTCATTTTTTTGGGGTTTGTCCGTATTGATAAATTTTTAAGAACAATTAGGTTCATTTGTTATGCAGTGGATAAATTTCTTATCCATTGCGTGCACTAGGGTTGCGGGAAACCTTGCTAATCGATGGACAATAGTATTTTCGCTTATTGCAATGAGCCGGCGCATAGTGAGCTTTGATAGTGTGCGGTTGGCAGTGATGGCCGAAATAGTTTAGGAGCTGATGTGAAGCTTGCCTGTGGTATGCTGCTTAGTCTATTTATTGATGACCAAAGGTGAGTGAGTCAGTTGCGTTGCACCTTACCTAAATTATGTTTTACTATGTAGCATCGTATATTATTTCAACTTTTATTGAACGAGTTCATGTGTTCTTAATTAACCAAAAGTTAATTGCTATGTTACGGTGCATAACTAAGATGAAAGTAATATTACTGCCCAAGACCTGTTAACTGGGCCGGGCTTTCGTGTTGTCACTTAAATTGTTGATCTACTCTTAATGCCCCATTTTTCCATTATACATGAGCGTCTTTGCTTATTTGACGCATAAAGTTGCCCTGCAACTAGAATATTCGTCACATGTTGATGCATTTACCAGTTAACCTTACAAGTATGAAAATAATTTAATTGTTTATCAAAATGAGGTCAGCCATGGTCCATTGGCCATTTGTTAACAGCCAAAACATCATGCCATGCTGTCTGTCACATGTTTCGAAAACAAATTCTGAAATTTATATATTTACTTATCTTAATAATTTAATTATAATTGATTAGCGGGATAAATTTATTCTTTGCTAAACCACCGTCGGTTAATCGCCTAATATTAATATCACACGTCTATAAATAAAGCTAAAGTTTATCTGTGGAAGTAATTGTGGTGCCCATGGAATCAAAAACCATCAAATGAATAAGCAAATTTGTGGCTCTTCCCAGTGTAATTACGATGAACGAAGTTCAAGTAAGAAATTAAGATTTCTATTGACAGTGGTAGAAGTCAACATATAAAGTCAGTTAATAGAACTTTCACTAGAACCGGTATTTCAAGAGTCAAGGCTACCCGACCAGTTAAGGTTTATTCATGTGTGGAAGTCCTCTGGTTTTCTCTTTTAAAACACTCCTTAACCTTATTGGTTGCATTGTTGGATCAATAAGTAATCGATTAACGAATCACGAGATTTCTTTGTAAAATGGATCTGTTAAGTTAAATGACTTTTCCTTCATCTCATTTCCCTTCTGGTCTGGTCAAGTTCAGAGGCATTCTTTACGATTTGAGGAATACACATAGATTATCACTATTTACCAGCTATAGGTTTGCAATACCCTTCCTTATTCGCGTTTCTTCATTGCCTTTTTATTCAAACACTTAAAAAATTAAAAAGAGAAGATGAAAGCAATGTTTTTCGATCTTGAGATCACAATATTCTCTTTCTATTTGACCTTACTTTGAACACTGGTAAAAAATCTTCTTAATCACCTTTTGGTCTTAGCTGTGGGGGTCTTGCACATCTTTGTTATTAATTCACTTCTCGTTCTGCTATTGGGTTTCAGAAATTTTTCAAATTAAATTCTTGTATTGGTTGCTCTTATGCTGTTGGCAGACCTGTTTAATTTCGCCTATTTCCTTAGTAAGGTTTAAGTACCAGAAAAGTACAAGTTGTCCAGGCAATAATCGATTATTGGTTTGTAAATATCAACAACATACCATAAGAAATATATTTTCAAAATCGACCCATGCTGTCTATCGATTAATTGATTCATACCTCAAACAGCGTGTGCTATTTGACCGTGAATTTGGACGCAGGTGCTGGATGACTCATGTACTGGCTGTCTGGCCCCTGCAAAACTTATGTCCATATGCGTCCATTAAGTTGAATAATGCGATTCTCAAGGGGCTTCGGACATGCTTTTGAACAGTATCTGAAAGGCACTATTTTTTTCTAAAATATAGCATCCAGTTCGACGTGTTATTCCCTTAATCACCTAAGTTAATAAAGTTTAAAAGTTAAATAAATATGCCAAATACAATTATTTATTTCATAATTCTAAATCCTCAAGTACACTCCATGAGCACAATCGTCGACATAGGCAGATAAAATGCTACAATTTCTTATCAATGGGAGTTAGGAGGCCATGGTAATTTTAATCATTAGCCATTTGATGAATTCGGAGTAAAGAAGTTAAAGATTATCTATTGGGAATCCCGATTAATCCACGATCTTATGAAGTCCAATTAAAGGCAAAATTAACTTTCAGCAAACTAAATTAAAATTGCAAAAAACCCTTCCTACTTTGTTTCAATAGTAAGTGGTCAAGGCTGCATCATAAAAATTCAATAAAATCGCATCCCGACGCAAGTGTGAACATGTTTAAGAATTCATTTTTGTTCGTATTTTTAAATAACAAAACTTCCCGGGAAAGTAATTAGACTTTGAGTTCTTTAATCTATTCGGAGAGTCAGCGTTTGACTTGAAACTAACTAGAAAACTAAATGAAAATTGGGCAAAAACTGTGAAACACAGGGAAGCCATCTAGGGTAAAATTACTTTAGTTACTCAACTCACAAACACAATTGGTGTTTGCACACCTACGAAAGGAATGTGAAATCAGACTACGGTACTTCGTATGTACGTGAAGCTCCAAGTTGATTTATGATTGTGTTTATGAGCTGAATCCACACCCATTCATCAATGGAGCTTGTGTGCAAATCTTCAAAAATCATGCAAACCTTTTTCGACTGTGCCTCAATGTGCTGTGCAATATACACCTGCCAATTTATTGATTATTTGCTTAAGTGTTTGATTCCGTGCATACGCTTAGAACGCAATGACTTTCCTACTATTCGAGAGCGATTAGGTGAGAGGTAAGTTCGATGACCTCTCATGTCAGGATCGGAATCTATCTGAGATAACAAAATGAATGACTACTTGAAATCGAGGCACGTGTATCAAATACAGCTACCACTGTTGTCTTAGTCAGACTCTAACCTCTAAAATCAACCAATTTGTTTATTTACATTTTCGTCCTGGCTATTTTAAACTCTCGGTAAATCACATGATAGTTGTTCCCGTGCCTAACGAAAAGGGATAAATGTTTCATTATTTACCTTATTGAAAATACGTTTGTGATCTTAAATTACCTCAATCACTGCACGATATCAACCTAAAGGCAATAGCCTGGAGATAGCGACCAATGTAATTTGCGTGTACCTTTGTTGAGTGGGCGTCGGTAAATTTTTTAAAACGCAATTTAAAATTGAGCAAAATTTCTGCCAAGGAACTTATAATCTATTCAGGACTATTTACTAGCTATTGTACAATTAATATTTATCTTTACGTGCACCTATTAACTTTATCTTATTCTGAAATAATGGTTATCGAAAAGTCACATAACCATTTTAACAGTCCTTTCTAAGAAAGAAAGTTTTTTTGCATGGAAAATAAGTAAGTTTAACGAGGAATTATTGTCAGAATAGAATTACCTCTACCGAGAACTACTAATTGAAACGCTCTTAAATTTCTCAACGCCTAAACAATTACGTCTTGGACTCATCCTTTTTAAGTTCTCTCTTATTCTACAAAGATGAAGTCGCCAGTACCAGGATACACTCGAAAATGCGCTAAAATGCAATTTTTCACCCACTATCCACACTCTTATCTCATTTTTTTACGTTATTGATGATGGTAGGACTAAACTAAATCAAATGATGAAGAGTGGGGGAGGGGGCGGTAGAGGTGGGGGTCGGCGAGATTTTCACTAGAGGAGCTTCACAATACTTAATCAAAGATAAGGAGAAGCGGTAGAATCATTAACGAAATTCTTGAGTAACATGAGAATTTTGAAGACTGAAATGATTTTGATGATTCAATGCCTGATTTATTAACATTAATCACAAGCGAGATGGTGCGTATAAGTATGTGTATTTTAGGGAACAGAGCAACTATAGGGTTTAGACAATAATAAAACTATTTGGTAAAGCAGTAAAAATTGGATGAGAATAAAAGTTAATGAGTTAATTACTGGTAATAAATAAATTTGAGGTAGTGGACATCTGCCTTATGAACCATTAGCCATTGAGTGTTTGGGCAGAGATGCAAAATTTCTCTATTAAGAGAGTAAATTGGAGTTCTTGCAAAGAGGATTGTTAATGAATAACAAGGAGGTTTTTGTGAACCGGCTCAATTTTACTGGACTATGAAGAACCAAGAGTGCAGAGAGAATCACCCTTAATTTATTTGTTCAAAATATAGAGAATAATCCAGATCTATTGATTGATTTATTGAGATATTTGGTTCCAAGATCGTTTTCAATGTTTATCCCAATTCAAATTCCCTTGAATTTTGATTCGTGGTATTGGTCAGCGTTGCTATGTTTGCCTTAAATGTTTTTTTTGACAACGTGGCAAACTATCAAGAGGTGGGTGTGCCAAGTCAGTGGTTGCGGGTGATAGAAGTGTATCGATCGTGTCCCATGAGTACACATAATTACTACAAAGATTGAATTTATTAGTTGACGCAAGCATGCATGCCAATTTCTCAACAAAAGAAGCCTCACGAAACCTTCTCTCTACACAAATTCGTGGTGAAAATCAATTTCTGTCAAACAGATAAAATTTGCTCCATACTAGTGGCTTCAATGTGCATATTCCCAAATTAACAACAGAAAACCAAAAGAACAAAGTAGAGTGAAAAGAACACACTGTTGCTTTGGGGGGCAGTCGTTTATGATCTAAAGGTCGATATTCCGGGAAGTGGAAAGAAAAATATAGATTCTATTTGTTTCAACAAAATTTATCACATTTCGCCTCGCCGTCCATGCTTAGTATAGGTTACTAACATTGGTTTGATTTATGATATCATCGATATTTCAATAATGGGGTACG